AGAGTATGACGAGCGGGACCGAAATAGTATACAGTTAGAGTATGTAGAGGGGACAGAAATAGTATACAGTTAGAGTATGTAGAGCGGGGCAGAAATAGTTAACAGTTAGAGTATGTGGATCGGAATAGGAATAGTATACAGTTAGAGTATGTAGAGCGGGACAGAAATAGTATACAGTTAGAGTATGACAAGCGGGACAGAAATAGTATACAGTTAGAGTATGACGAGCGGGTATTTATCAACAGGACTCGGCGTCCATGCGATTCTCTGAAACCGGCTTCATCCGATCATAATCTTATTATCCTAATAATTATAGACTATTTTTCAATGATTTGAGACCGTGCAAGTCTTACTTTAAGAAGAATACCATAAAACAGAATATGTCTGTATTGCGAGGTCGTTCTACGCATTATTTGATAAGCTGAAACTCGGCATATATTTCAATTATGCATATATAACACTTGTTGAAAATGAGGTTATATAACTATCCTGTAATTATATCGATAAGCATGTATTGTCATGTCAATTACAACATATGAATACAAACCTCTTTGAAAATAAACGTATATATCAAAGGACTATTATCTAATTAAAATCAATCTTAACACCATCGCACGTAATCCATGTAATTGAGAGAACAAGGGGCTTACAGATAGTAACACGTATGCGGGTTTATGTGGTTTGGACTTTTTTTTATCTTTACACAACATTGCTACTTTCAAACCATTAAATGCTCATCAATAAATACGTGTTCTGTCATTGCTCTATTAAACACAACACGAAAGATTTCGTGTAATCGAGATTACGCTTTTATGCCAATTAAGTACAACAAAGAAAAACCATTTCCGTTTTGGTCTCTCACCTGCTACATTTGAAAAGTGAGTCTCACCAAACAGGGGTTACAAACAAGATTCGCTTGTTGAAAGTCTAATCGTAGCGTGTAAGTGGTGAATTGTTCAAAAAAGTCATATAAGTATATATATATATAAAAACCCAAAAATCAGTAAAAATATAAGTAAAAGAAGCCTTTACAGTACCTCATGTTTTGACTTTGTTTTGGTGTTTTCGAGCTTGTATAAAAAATAACGTTTTAATATAAATTATAAATCGTACAAATGAGTGTTTTTTATCGATGATTCATGAGCTTAATGATACATGATCATGAAGGTCACTTTAAAGTATTTATTTTCATATTTCGTTTTTTGATTATTAAAAGTGTGAAAACAAAATCATCATGTCTTACAAATGAGTTGAAAATGATATCAAAATTGATGTATCTTAAAATCAATAAATCCATACAAACATGTGAATAAACATTTTCACTGGGGCTATTCAACAATTTGAAATTCTCCCACACTAAAATGTAATGTAGAAGACACAGGACTATCACAACTCATCCGTAATATCATAATGAAATATGTACCAATGCACTGCATTTCAACTATATACCTCACCACATTCAGATAAGATGGCATTCATGGAACTATTTTTTTAATAATAGTACGTGTAATTGAATTTTATGAAATAATCAGACTTAAAATATGGTAAATTCAAGTATTGAACTGCTTTCTTTTGAGATTCATGAGCAATATGAATGCCAAAAAGCAGTTCAGTGCTTAAAATCAGCTTAGCGGACCTCACGATATCCCCGATTCATCTTTACACACTTTACTGTGAACATTGTTCTATTCCTCGTGAACCAGCAGTGGTATGCGAATCTAGATCAAAAATGGTCGTTCTATCCACTTACCTGAAGCCCTGGAGTTACTACATACGCTGCCGTAGTGACGTTCTATTTTGGTAATTTTGTAGGAGCTGTTGAGGATATCCCTATTGACCCTTTCAATGGCAATATCTATAGCTGGTCCTACTCTCTCCACGTCGTAAGGTGTGTTTGCGTCGTAGATCATGGCTACGCCGACGTTAAATTCCCTCACAGAACCAGTTGTCGGGCGTGTGTAAAACAAATTAAATAACACGATGTAAGCTTCCCACATCTTCAAAACCATCCTCCTACACGTTACAGATATTCGCAACTCTTTTTACGTAAACGTTATGTTTGAAATGCTACTACAGAAGTTGCCATAACCGTCGATCTATTCGCAAGTAAACTCATGATCATAGCATAAAAACTGTTACTGTTAGCACAAGTCTGATGTATCTTACTAAGTATGATATGACCAGTATGGCCTCATCCCGGTCCTTTCACCACCCTTATGAAACCATTTATCTATTATGGGTTTCATTTAGCTCTGGTGACGAACATCGTTGTCAGTATACTAATTAGACGCTTTGTCCGGGCTTGTCAGCAGCTCCCGGTTATGAGCGGCTTCACATTAACGCGATCTTGATTGGTTTGTGTCGTCGTCACCAATGTGTTATTATTACAGGCTATTCAGATGCTGTGGACGTTAGTACAGGTAATCGATGATGTAAGTGTCTGTAAAAGCCAGTACATTTTCTTAGATAGGTAAAGGTACTCGAAAACAACCAGATTTATATCAAAAGTAGCAGTAATGGATGCATCCATCAAATCTTAAACTCCTATTACAGATCAATTTGTTATGACGTCATAATGTGCGACATTTCTACATCCTTATATGTTCATGTTTATGATATGATATGCAACTCTTATAAAGCGCTCTATATGATTCCTGATATTACTCATAAATGTCTACAGAATATTTAATATACATGACATTATGACGTAATTGTCAGAAATATGAAACAGACAAGTTCAATGACGTCACAAGTGATATGATCTACAAAATATATAACTATTTTATAATAAAGCCCTATACAATGACGGATGATAAATGTTTATATTAGACAGATATCTAGAAAGCGGAAGAAGGAATGTGAAATTTCAACCCCAATATCCTTTGTGTGATGAGCATGTGATGCACGTGCTTTCACCTAGTGACGCTTTTACTATGTTATCTTTCACCGTTAATGGATAATATGGATATTGTACCGGCAAAAGGTAGAGACATCCTAACTGGGGTAAGCTGGTACGATAGGCAGAATGACTTCGACTTCCCGGTCATGAACTTTACATTTCTTGATAGTAACATCCCTGTTTCAATACCTATGTTGTTTACATGTCACATTTGGTTGATGACTTCTGTGATAAATGTCGACTACTAACGGACACACTTACAACACAGTGTGTTAATGATGCAGGTTGGGGAAGATTATGGGCAGGTTTTATGGTCGCAATCATGATTTCATTAGGAACTCTATTTTTTGTGTGATTTATAGGTCATTATTGTGATTATGCTCGTAACTGTAACCTATGGATTAACTGTCACTACCTGAGTTCTCGTTGGAAAGACGCGACGTTACTTGACATTTGACCAAGATTTACAAGGCAGTTGTCGTCGATAAAGCCGACGACGCCTACCTTTCCAGAACAACTGGTCCTATTGTCTTCTCCTATGACTATTATGTGATTAGTCTTTCATTTGTTCATATTTTCCCCTTGTTGAGTTGAAATTATGATTATGTTGACATGTATTCGCTCGATGCAATCCAAATCCGACTTGGTTGTGCGCCGAGCTGTTTGTTGTAAAATCGACTGCCAAATTCAGAACATTAAACTCCTTTTCTTAAAATGCAATTCATTCATTACTTATGAAGTTGTTATCTCATTTTATACGATTTGTTTATTTCTTTCCTGCATGATTATATGCGTTAACTACTGTTTTGGTACAAGTCAAAAGAAAGCCATCAATGGAATAAGTACTGGGGGTATACTGACTGGAGCAAAACATAGCGATACAACTTAACGTTTCAAATGATAATACCAATTAAATGCATCAAGATTTTACTGATCTTAAAACTGTACTTATAAAGTAAAATATAGGGTTTTCCTTTAAAGTAGGGCCTTACGGTTTTAATTAGTTCTGTATTTGTTCGCCCTTAGATAGGATTATAATGTCACATGACCTGTACGCATCATTCACACATACAAGATGTTGAGAGAAGCAGACAAGTGCTTTCATTGGAATGGTTATCAGAGTCAAAACACTATTTCTTTTTAACGTTCATAATAAGTGCCCGTGGTTTCTAGGGAGCTGGGGACTACATATGCTATATTACCTTAAATACATTTGGTGTGCAAATACTCCTTGGAATGGTGGAGTGTCAATTACAAAACGTAGGTACCTGTGACTTGTGGTGTGACCTTTGACTTAAACTTTAAAAGAAATGTTTTCCATGGCATATCTACTACAGCATTTCACCTTGAGCAAACGTATTTGGTATTTAAATTCATCTTCGAATAACAAATTGTGGAGTACAAAAATAAGGTCGCTTTGACCTTCATTTAAAAAACAATTCTGTGGCATATCACCAGACTCGGTATGCAGGTACCGAGTCATTGCATAGCGGAATGCAGTTTACAAGTAAGTCAGTGTTACCTACGCGTTGACCTATTACCTCAAATATGGAACATTTTTTTCCGGGGCATACATTCGGTTTCACCAAAGTAACCAGATTAGGTATGCAAGTACATTATGGGATTGCAGAGTGCAGAATACAAGACGTATATTTCTGTAACCTTTATGCTTTGGCCTTTCACCTCAACCTTTGAAAAGGTTTGTCCAGTGCATACATGTATCGTCTAAACTATTTCATTGCACTTTCCAGATTTGGTATGAAAGTTATCTTGGGATGGCAGAGTGTCAAGTACAAAAAGTAGGTCACTGTGACCTATGCTTTAAACTTTGACCTTATCGTTTGAAAGGAAACCAGAGTTGGTATGGAAGCATGTCCTGGCTGACAGAATGAGGAGTACAAGAACTCTGTCTCTGTGACCTATATGATGAGATATTTGTACCGCTAGGTAAATAAAGAAAAAAATACTGGTGGGGGACTTTGGATTGCCATTCAATACTCTGCCTTGTTGTGAATAATATGATTGAGTGAGGCACAATCCTGCATACGGAACTGCCATATTTGCCCAAAAGATAACAAAAGATTAAAAGATAAAGGTACGTTTTAGCAAGTGCAAGTAGGTTAAAATAGTAGGTATTCCCACGAAGGTGAAGTAAGTCATTGCCGCTGTAACTTGTTACTGATATTTTTAATAGACGCTAAAATGTTATACACTTACAACATTACATACTTAGTCAAAAATCTACAATGTTAATAAAATATATGAAAACAAACCTTTTCTCGGCTATTTACAGTAATTTAAAGCTTTCCTGGGTAGAATATTATACTCTAGACAGACTTTAGTTGCATTCCTAGTGGTCGTGGTTGTTGACGCGACATTGATTTAAGTGGATGCTCTGAGCATTATATCACCAGGTATTACATGAAAGCTATATGTAGGCTACCATCACACTATTACATAATGTGGGATCAGCAATGATATACTTCTTTAAGTTTCCTACAAGTTACAACTATGATAAATGTGTATGTTATCCTCAACCTGTCATGCGGTGTTGTAGTTGTATTTGGTCTAGCATGATGACTCGAGGGATCTGTAAATCTGGAGAATGTCTAAACAAAATTGATGTTTTTCGCTTGTTTGGTATCTTTTCAACAGTCTGAAGATATAACGAACAATTGTCTTAATGTCCTTCTACAAAACGCATGATGGCTTCTGTTGTATTGACACTGAACCCCACCACCTGGAGCATAAATGGATTTTTTTGATCCTCTACTGTTACGTCACTGCTGGCAAAGTTGACGATAACAAGTCGAGTTGTGCCGACGCCGAAGTGAAACCTTGAAAATGTCTGTTTGAATTTCTCAGCTGGGGAGGATAAAAGCACTATAATGGCGTCGAATGAATCCAGTGCCTCTTCCACATGTTGTACAAGAACCGATAGTGACTCATTTACTGCAATTAAATTGTTCGTGCAAGCCAAAGCGTCTGTACTAGGGAATTCCAGCTTAATCTTTTCCCCGGAAGTGTACGTGACAATTTCCGAGTCTCTGTGTGTTGCTCTTGCAATTATAGTCGCCATTGTAGCTATGGCGTCTCCGATAGTAACTGATTTTTTTTCCTCAAGTTTAGAGTCTAGTTCCTTGCCTACCCAATGCACCAAAGAATATTTTTTGTCTGTTGGTTTTACATTACGGACACAAAGTTCAAAAGAGTGTGCCAGTGTCTTCTTGACGTTTTCGTCATTTGTTTCCTTCATTGCAAGTACAACTGCGAATGGGTTCACGTTTGCATTTTGTAGCTGTTCCACATCTCCCAGTCTCTCAAGAATTGTCTTCTGGTCATCTAATTGGTCTATCTTCGAAATGTTCTGAATGACCAGATCAAGAGGAATTTGGTTCAGCAAAACTTCCCAAACAAGTGTGGACCTCATGAGTGCCGCAGACATTTGCGAGGTTTCCAGCCTATATTTCCTTATGATATCGATTTTCCCCTGAACTTCCATGTTTCCAGTACACTGACGTGTGTTGTTAACCGCCTCGAGGTATTGGAGGATGTCCTGCCATTGTTTGGCTTGGTCGCGGTCAATTGGCGATGGTAATTTCTTTGATTCGTTTAGACCTTTAGTGACATATCTCAGGATCAACATGATGAATGGGGAGTCTGGTTTCACATGCGACAACCTGGCAACATCTTTATGGGTCCACTGACCATTTTTTTGTACTTTCGTAACGCCTTCTGCTAGTTCCATGGGCCTGTCGCTGAAGCTGTTGTACCAGTCAGAAACGGCTCGGCGTTGTGCCCTACCCCACCCTGTTCCCCCGCTCACCATTTCACAAAACATGACGAAAGTAAGTAAATCCGAGGGTTCGGGACATACTGCTTGAAGAGCGGAATAAGCGGCTTTCTTCGTGCTGGATTCCGTTGATCGGGCACACATTGCTAGTGCGTATATCGCGGTTTGTCGCTGACATCCTCTTCCCGTTAATTTAGCCCTCTTTATGATCTCAACAACTTCAGGACCGTGATCATTGGAAATCAAACTGAAATCAGTATAATAAACCATATTAATTAAATCATACAAGTAGGTTTCTTTCCTAACGTCAATGTATCAGACCATCGCATTTTTTTGTACTTATCGGCGATGGTCTAAGGGAGACAACCTTTACATGCGTGATCACATGGTTGTGATAAGACACATGAAAAGGGCAAATTTTATATAAAGGGACATGAGCATCTCCTAATGGCAAAATCGTTGTCAGTTTATAATAAGCAACACTTAGATAAAAACACTGACAAGCCATTTATGTTTTATATTGAAAAGGGTGGCACATATTTAGGGTCTGACAAACCTTACAAACCATAACCATAACTGTACAGTTGCACCTGTTCGGAATAATTCCCAGAGGATTGTGAACAGTATACAAGATAGATAGATAGATAGATAGATAGATAGATACTAATCAACCGTGTTATGCCAACTTCAACGTATAATTGATGTGTCTTGATTTTTCAAATATGACCTGTTTACAAGGATTATATTTAGGTGACTTAAATTATTTTTCAATAACTCCATTTTATATATTTTTTTTCAGTAGCGTAGACAACAGGCTATTTTTCAAACGATAATCTACAGGGCTTCTGTACTGTATGTTTTAAAAATGTCATTTCAACCACTCCTCTTATATGTTGCGCTATCCACTTTTGAACAAAAGTTAGTTTTATTGTTCATATCAACATGGTCATAGGTTGTTCGCCAATAAATCAATAAAAATGTCCTGAAAATTCCAGTGGAAATCTTTCTTATGGATATACCTGGGCCCAGTTGTTCAAAGGGTGGTTAGCTTAATCACTGTCTAGCGACATTTTCCAACATATAATAATTTCGTCAATATACAAGGTAAAAACTCGTCATTTTGTATGTAAATTAACTCCACTAAATAGCTGATATCTGTAAAGTTATAACTAATTCAATGGTTGTGTTTTAAAGATACACAAAAAATAAAATTTGCGCTAACTAATCACTGTTTAAGCTAATCACATTTTGAACAACTGGGCCCTGGTGTCATCAGGAATTTTATGGAACCTCAAACTGAAAAATTTCTCCGACATTACTTTCCATATGTATTTTTGTTTTGTTTAAAAATGCATCATGATCCCCTTAAACCCAATAGATCTATATAATGGAAGTCAAGCTTAAATCGCTTGTTAAATAACACAAGACAATATTACTGGCGATGTCGGAGTACTGTTTGCCCTACACAATTATCATTAAATCTTTTGAATTATAATGATATATGCCAAATATGCAAATTCCGGAGGGTCAAACATGAAAACATGCATAGCGCAATTATATTACAATGACCTCGTGAACAACGGAAGGGTTTTTAATCAACCGTGTTAGGAATGGGGAATAGGCCTATCACAACAAATAATGCAAGTTTGTATCATTACCTGTCGATACATTTAACTTCCTTTCGAGTGAATTCTCTATCGGCTGATTCGTAAGCACCCTTTTCTGCGCCTAGGATGAGGAACCTATGGAGTCGCCATTTGTCGGATTTTATGTCCGGGATTAATACCCCTGCCTCCCGTAACGACATCTCCATCGAGGCATTTCTTCGTACGCTGGCCAGTGCTTGAAACCTTCCGGATCTTAAAGTGGCACGAGTTAAAGAAATCATTTCATCGGAGGAAGAACTAAGATCTGAGTCTGACATGATACCGGCTGTAGTGGGTGACCTGCCGATTGTAAAACAGAAAGTACACTTAGAGAATTCCACGAAGGCTAAAAATAGCTGTTGTTGTGTTACGTCACTAGGTCGAGATCGGTGCAATATTAATCTGTGCCCCCGGTAATATATGTCTGTAACGTCGTCTTTGTCCTATACACTTTGTCAGTAATGGAAAACGGAAACGGGGCAACACATATTTTACTTGAATTTGTCTTTGAAAGTTACAACTGAACATAATTCTCGCTGTTACATTAACCTTACATATAACATGTAAAGCCTGCAGGTTACACAATGTTTTTATTGTATAACTTCTTATATATCTGTATCATATATAACAAAACTAGCATTAAGTCACTGTCACAATAAGCATGATTTCTTAAGGTTCATGTAAACACTAATAATTGACCTTCAGGTCCCTTTATTTCATGTTTAAATATTACATTTATTACAAGCTGTGCTGAATTGTCGTTTTCAATATTATAAATTATAAATTCAAACTCCCTATAGCCATGATTGAACGTTTGCCACGCACTCAATAAATAGTGTTATTTGAAATATAAATGAGTGACTCGTGAATATTTTGCCATTATTTGAGGGGAAAATTAGAACTGATAACCTATTCATGTTTGAAAATTGAAACTTTGGCAAAAATAAGATATTATATACAGTGAGGTACTCCTATGAAGTAAATTATGTTTAAACATCCATAGATGGATTTTGGTTAAATCGAAAGTCATCGTGTTGTCGAATGGAGGCCGCCATTTTTCTTTTTTTAGCTGTCAAAAAATGGTGATTATTTCCGTCACAATCACAAGCGATCGGTGCGTTCATAAAACACCAAACGACACGAAATAGACTGCATTGACATCGAATGAACCATAAATAACTAGCACATGTCGTAACCAGGTCTTTTGTCCATATTCAGACCAACTTTCTTCCTCTTGGTATGATTTTCGTACCGGACGACATGGCGATATCGCTCCGCAGTTAGTTTACAAAAATGACAATGTTTCCTGTCATAGTTATCAAAACAAGAGCATAATTCTCTAAATAATAAAATACTTTTGATTCCGAATTGAATTACAAAAATGTAAGAGTATTACTACAGAAAAAGAAATCATAATATCTAAGATCGGACTGTTTGTGCGGCGTCACTTCCGGCAATGTGCATCAGACGTCAACAACATGAAGCTGAAGAGAAAACGCTGAGATGCAGAAGATCGACAATGTTTATTTGTTGTAAGTATGGTTTGTAGGATAGAATACACTTGTAATTTACATAAAATAAACACAGATAATGTATTGCTTGAGTCGATGTCCTGGTAAGACGAGATTTGTGTGTTGTATTTTGACGAGTGACACAAACAGGAAATGCATTTGCCTTCATTTCGAAGGCAAAATTAATTATTTTTCAAAACAAATATACAAGATTTTGGTCAATGCATGTGTTCTTTCTTGTGAAATTGAATGTTTTTATAGAAAAACTGATTATTTATATTACTGTTTGAAGTGTCAATAAAAAAAAACAATTTATGGAAGCATGGAAGAAGCACATGTGTCAAATTAGTGTCTACTGCATTGCACAGTGAAGCAGCAATCAAAAAGGCGCCATTAGTATGCTATGTCAAAGGAAATAAGTCTGCAAAGAATCTGAATGTGAATTTTTAATAGACATTGAATACCAATTTATTAACACTAATGATAACTTTTAATATATTTTATAACACAGGTGTGCAGCACAATTAATTGAAGCCTTAGAAGCACATGTCAAATAACAACGTTGCTGTGAACATATGAGGAGGAAGCTCTAAAGACCCTCAAAGTGTTTACATCTGCATGTACTGGGAATAGATGCTCGTCAACCTCAATTCATGTTTATATTGCGTCCTGTCATCTTGCCTGTGGTAGTGTGGTCATGGAGGTGTAGCAATGGTAGCACTGAACTCGTACAGCCCATCTCGACGAATTGAAGCCTCATCCAGAAGTTCCTTATAGATAATACATAATTGCACTAGATTTATTTATCTACCCAGATACCAAAACATTGTCATCTGGTCAAAATGTTGCCAAGAAAAGAAAATGAATGGTATATTGAATATTCTGAACACTTGGGAATTGACATTTCACTTGCGATGGCCTCGTATTTTTTTCATGAGACATCATTAAGATACAGTTGTGAAATTTCTTCTGGATATTAAAAAGTTTTTACGAAATATCAAGATATTTTTTTTAATACCTAGCTTTGTTATTGTCTATTCCAGAAATGCACGAACAACATTGAATGAGATTTGTGTGACGACTCATTTTCCACCAGAGGACATTGAAACACACAAAGTGGCAATCTACAACTGTACAGTACTCAGTTTTATAGGAATGATGGATTTGATGATGCAGTGTATAGAATCTCTATGAAGGGGATGACAAGATTTACAGAATTGACTATTTGCAGGATTATATGGTTGCCTGACAGTTACCCAATCATTGTGTGTTTGTAAATATTGGTAGTTACAATTATGATATTGTGATATCCGATGGGATGGTGTTATCGTGGTATCTTCCTCACTAAGCAAAAGACATCTAAGCTTTTTTTCACATCTGCAACTACATGTCAAGCAACATTCTGAAGTTTGTACACTCGCGTGTGATGTACTGGAGCACTCAAATCGTACCAGAGTAGCCCATGGCGATAGTAAAACTTGACTGATTTAGTTGGCCGAAGTATTGCAGAGAATATTGTTTTACGGATACGTAAATTGGTAAATATGCCAATGTCTTGATTACGTTGGAAGAAATGTGATTATTCCAAAAGCTTCAATAATGATGAACGGTGATCAAATTAAAATTTGACACATGATCCAACCGCTAAAATGATAGCACAATACCCAAACTTGAAATTTTATGTATGGAATTTATGTCAATTTCATTGAAGAATTGGTATTTATTTTTATTAAAAGATTACAAATATACCTAGTAACTTTATCGCCACCCTACTATTCCGTTGACAACAAATAAGGTGACACTAGGTTTACTGTTTTATACGATGAATCAAATGTCTTGTATGTGTATGCAATCTGCTTATTAATGTAATTATCAATATAAATCAACTACTGTGATCTAATATTTGTTAATGACTCTTTTTTTTTAACAAACCATAACATACATATCACGCATTATTTTTCGGTTAAAAAGATGGTTTTAGAAAAAATCAATGTTTGTTATTACACTACATGGGCTTCCATAGTTTTTGTCACGATCGCATGTATTGTCTCGTGGTGTTTATGTTGATCGTGTCCAGTGTTATTGTTATTACCAATCACGTGGTCAGTTGACGGACGAGACGGTAAGTAAATTGGTAGGGAGCGGAAGTGCACAAGCTCAGGACACAGGTAAACATGTGTGGACGCGCCATAGCCACCTGTCGTGTGTTTTAGTACTCACAGCAGCCTACCTCAGTAGTTACAGGCACAGGTTACAGACTGTGCTTTCCTGAGGAGGATTACGACCACATCTGAACATTGCAGTGGATACAAGCGAACGGGGCATCGGGACCCTCCCATGCAAAGGGTCAAGGTCAGCCACAGGTCATCCACAGCGGGCAAGTCACGGTCACTCAAGAGGTCAGCCAGAGCTGTACAGATCGGGAACTCTAAGAAGCGCATAGCGCGCATCATATATTTCCACCGTCAGTAAAGGCTACGGTTGGTCAGCGGTGTCAAACATACGGAGACTGTTGTCACCCAGGATAGGACTATTGGTCCATTGTGTCATACAGTGGCAGGAGCAGACAGCACAGGAACTGTCATATTATTCAAGCAAGGAACATTGACTGGTATCATGCAATTAGCCGGCTTATTTGGAACAGTGAACTTTTGTATGGAAACCAATGTGTGAAAATATGTAAATGTATGTATGTGAATGAGTGGATGCTGGAGAGATGATAGAAATGTTTAGTGAAATGTGCTTGCGTTAATTGTAAATAAATTGTTTGTATTTGTGTAACTTACTAGTTTGTTTTGTTCATTTCTAATTATCTCTACCGACGCTCGTCCCGCGTTACAGTTTTAGAAAAGTAGTTCCAATATTGCTGATTTTTTTATGGTGAAATTAACTAATGACTTGACTTTGAAGTTGTGATTATCAGTCTTTTGAAGCAGTTTCATTAACTTTCAACAATCCCACTACCTAAAATGAGTTCTAAGGAAGATTTTGACTGATATTTCCTTGCAAATCGACTCTGTTTTGTATATATATATTATTTCCTGCATAACGTGTAATTAATGCAATTAAAACAATATTAACGAACTGAACTTAACTGAAAGCTAATACAATCTTTTATTTATATCCTAAGGATCGTAGTGATACCAAAATATGGGCTATCGAGGTAAAATTCAAACAATTATGACCTTTTGTAACTTAGTTGAAAACAGACTTTGCATGAACCTTAAGCTACATACAAATTATGAGAAACTGTACATGACACTTATTGTCGGTCGTACATGACACTTATTATCGGTCGTACATGCCACTTATTGTCGGTCGTACATGTCACTTATTGTCGGTCGTACATGACACTACTGTCGGTCGTACATGACACTTATTGTCCGTCGTACATGCCACTTATTGTCGGTCGCACATAACACTTATTGTCGGTCGTACATGACACTTACTGTCGGTCGTACATGACGCTTATTGTCAGTCGTACATGAAACTTATTGTCGGTCGTACATGACACTCATTGTCGGTCGTACATGACACTACTGTCGGTCGTACATGACACTTATTGTCAGTCGTAGATGACACTTATTGTCGGTCGTGCATGACACTTACTGTCGGTCGTACATGACGCTTATTGTCAGTCGTACATTACACTTATTGTCGGTCGTACATGACACTACTGTCGGTCGTACATGACACTTATTGTCCGTCGTACATGACACTTATTGTCGGTCGTACTTGCCACTTATTGTCGGTCGCACACGACACTTATTGTCGGTCGTACATGACACTTACTGTCGGTCGTACATGACGCTTATTGTCAGTCGTACATTACACTTATTGTCGGTCGTACATGACACTTATTGCCGGTCGTACATGCCACTTAT